ATAAAAATTTAAGGGCCAGAACAATAGGACAGCAGGTAGGGTGTTTGCCTTGCATGCAGCTGACCTAGGTTTGATCTCCAGCATCCGATATGGTCCCCTGACCTCCAGTAGGAGTTAATTCCCAAATGCAGAGCCAGGAGTAACCCCTGAGCATCACTAGGTGTGGCCCAAAAAGCAAAATAAAATAAGAATGTATGCCAAAAAGATAGTACAGTGGGTAAGGCACTTGACTGCCAGCACTGAGCACAGAACCTGGAATAAGTCCTGAGTACAGTCAGGTATGTCCAAAAAAACAAACAAAAAAGAATGTATTCAATTGTAGTAAAAGATAAAACAATCATTATATTTAAATTAAGACAAATACTAACATATTTGGCTTTAAACAAATATTGCAAGCAAGTACAGAAAATACAAAAAGATATTAAATGTAAATTTTCTCACCCAATTTTTCTATTGGAAAATATTCTCCTTTTCCAGAATCATGATGGGACTCCCTCTATTCCCCACCCTCACAATTATAACCTGCCCCAAAGTACCAATAAACAAATAATTATTTACTATTAAAATGGATTGTAGTGAACACTGAAAGCAAGTTAGTAAGAATAATTACCCTCATTAAATCTGAACAGAGACACTTATTTGCCTTTTTCCTAGCCAAAAAAAACAAGGGGGGAGGGGACAGCAGACTAAAAAAGGTTCTTCTAGAATCAGAAATTCTCCCCAATTTAGTTGTTTTCTCTTCATCCTTCCACAAAAGAAGCTGCAGCAAGGGGTAGGGGGGAGCTAACTGCACCCCCTCATGAAGGAAGTGTTCAAAGTACAGCACACACACCAACTCTCACTTCCTTCCAGGCAAGGAAACTGAGCCACCTTGGGCTGCAAATGGTAAAAGGCCCAGAAAGAAGATGAGAATTCACTACCTTCACTCCTCCATCAGGACTCTCAAGCTATCGCTCACAGTTCCACCTACTTTCTCAAGCACAGTGCAAAAGTGGAGCAAGAAGCAAGCGTGAGAAAATGTATCTCTCTTCATCCCCTCACTAAGGCAGGGCTAAGATCTTAGGGGGATCTGGATGGGGTTCCCCACGACAAATTCCTGAAAGACTGCCACTGCTTCCTTCCTCACTGGCTACAGAAGATGTAACCGCAGCAGAAGAGAGACCCGCCGCATCACAGAGGCGACATCATCACCCACCTCCTCACCTCTGTTCTTTACTTGAGGGAGCTCAGACTAGCAGGGAACCTGGAGGTCACCCCTAACCTTCCTCAGGCCCCAGGTCCTGTCAGCTCTACCACTGAGACTTCCTCACTTCTCACACTGCCAACTTCTTCCATTCTCACTATTATTTTTAAAACTTTTTAAAAGTTTTCCATTTTTTGCCTCTGTAATTGTACAATCTTACACAATATGATTTTTTACATTAAAATCATCTCAAAGTGTATGTCCTGCTAAAAATCTTGACACAGTCCCCCATTACCTTAACTATAAATTCTAACCTCCTTGGTGTGGACACCGGGGGGCCCGTTTATAATGGACTCCACTTGTCTAAGCAACAGTGACTGCTCCCCACTTCCAATCCTACAGCTGTAATTATGATTGACTGTAGGCAATTCTCCCACAGTGCCATGCTCACTGTCTTTCGCCCATGAGGGGCTCTTCTCAGGAAGCCCTTTGCCATTTCATTCTGCTCAAACACCTTTCCACTTCTCCCACTGATGTATGGAAATAAGATCAGGTGGTGGGTGTTTTAATCCATGAAGACTTCTGAGTACCACCCTCCTAGTCTCTGTCTGGGTAGACATCATAACACACACGTCACTGGTGTCACATCAGACACTGTCTGGTAACATTTTTTCATTCACTAGATTTCTTCCTGCCTACACATTCAAGGGGTTGTGTGTGTCACACTGATATTGTTTCACCAGGGGCCAACACACAGAATGACTATTTCAATGTGCCCAGGAGAATCATCTTTTACATCTAAGTCCACTTACCAGCTGCCAAGTTCTCCATTTCTCTCAGAAATCCCACCTGAAGCAATTAATTACATGTTAATTACATAGTTGCCGTAAACCAAGCAAGATTCTCTGACCCTTACCACCAAAGCTCACCCCATTGTGTTGGAGAATAGGAGAGTCAGTGGACTTCCGATGCCAGAAGGGTCGAACTAAAATCAGTAGAACCCAAGGGAGATCTACTGCAAGAAATTTATTATAAGAAACTATTATTTTGTCTTGTTTTTTAACTCTGCAGCTAGATTACTCCTTCCAAAAGCTGAAGAACAGGCTGATGAGGATGACCATCTTGAAACTTTGGACTGAAAGTTAAAAGCTACTATCAAGAAATAAGATGGGGGTAAAGGGGCACACCACTTAGATGAATAAGAAACACCTCAAACTTAACACATGACTGAACTCACCTTCCCCACAGTCCTGCTTTGCAATTCATAGACATTCACTCCTACTAATGGTCTAAATTCCAAACTTCGTAATGATCTCACTATCACAAACTAAATTGTCTCTGGTTGTCTTACCCATAAGACATCCAAAATTGAACTACTATTCATGTTTACTTATTTGCACACCGTAGCCCCTACCACTTGCTCTATTAATGATTACATCACCTTCCTAATCAAAATCAGTCTCTCCCAGGTCTCTTGTATGCAACACTCCAATAACCTTTCTGAGGGAGGAATGATGGGAGCGAAGGGGGACTTCCAAAGGATGCTCAAGAGTACCAGAGCCCCTGAGAATCTCAAACGACTCAACTGAGCTGAAATGTAAAGCCCAAGGATGTGGGACTGCAATAGCCCTGTGATGCCAGGGATACCTGCAGAGGTGTGGGGGCCTCCAGGGCTACACCCCAGGGTACTTGGGGGCTCTGAGAATTACACCTAGCCTGGAGACCACGTGGTCCCATGAAATCAGACCCTGGTCCCACTGTGGTACCTCCCAGCTTCTCCAACAACCTATCAGCCTGGCAGCCAGAGTAATCCTGACAAAAAACCTAAATCAGTTCATGTCGGTCCTACACTGGGTTTTGATCTACTAGAATACAGGATTCATGTTACAGGGCACTGATCCTTAGCTTGACCAACACTGTCTTTGCCACGTACTGGGTAGCACTATAGCACTGTCCTCCCGTCATACATCGATTTGCTTGAGAAGACCCAGTAACATCTCCATTGTGAGACTTTGTTGTTACTGTGTTTGGCATACTGAACACGTCCTGGGTAGCTTGCCAGACTTTGCCATACGGGTGAGATACTCTTGGTAGTTTGCCGGGCTCTCCGAGAGAGAACTATTAATTGACTAAGATCAATGAAAAAGAAAAAAGAAAAAACAAGATTTAGAAAATCTAAACATTGGATGAGAATTTACTCAGGTATTAGGAAACCATTACATGAATCCAAAAGAAAAATAAAATGTACATTCTGAACTGTTTTCATCCTATGCTATGCAGTTACACATTTAAGAACTAAGTCGGAGAACAAATCCAATATATAATTGCTGAGGGAGTGGGCAAGTGGAATCCACAAATCTTGTAGCAAAATTCTCTAACAGTAGGGTTAGAGAATTTTTGCATTATCTTAGAATATGACATGTACACACCATAATCTCTCAGTCAATGCTGAGGAATAATAAATAGTATTACCCATTGGCAGTCTTTTTTCTTTTTTTTTTTTTTTGGCTTTTTGGGTCACACCTAGCTATGCACAGTGGTTACTCCTGGCTCTGCACTCAGGAATTACCCCTAGCGGTGCTCAGGGGACCATATGGGATGCTGGGAATCAAATCCAGGTCAGCGGTGGCGGGCAAGGCAAACGCCCTACCTGCTGTGCTATCACTCCAGCCCCACCACTGGCAGTCTTTATAGCTTTAACTTTTACTCTCAGACTTACAAAGAAAATTCTATTACTTCTGAATTGTGAAAACACGAAGCGTACCAATTTGAAGGAAGTTATAACATCATGACCAATCTATTGAAAAACCACTGTTCACACCATCATTTTGAGGGGACTAGCAGTTGATCAGGGTCTATTCCTGGGTCTGTGCTCTGAACAGCATCCCCGGCAATGCTCAAGTGACCATGTCGGTGGGATGCAAGGCAAGCACCTTAATCTCTGCCCTATCTCCTCTGGCCAGGGTTTTTGTTTGTATTTGTTTGCTTCTTTGATTTTCCCGGTGCTGGGAATTGAATCCAGGGCCTCAAACATTAAAAAGCACGCAAACTACCGCTGAGTTACATGGCCACCCTCTCACCGTCATTATTCTAGCTTACAAAATAACTGAGTTCTATCATTTGCACCAATCATAAAAATCTTTGAATTCCGATAGCGATTATCTGGATTATTTAGGGGCCCCACATCGGCAAACGGTTTAACTTCTAGTCCAGTCCATTCTCAGTCCAAACAGATTACAAAAGCAAGCAGCTGGTATCTGACTTGGGCAGGCGAAAGTGAAAAACAATGAACTGCAGTAAACGCACAGGAAGACATGAACGATCTTTTCAAACAGACATCTGAACTTCCCTAGGCTATAAAAGCTAACTGCATTCTCGAATCGAGACTCTCTAGGTCTCAACTGGAGGAGACAGGCACTAGACGACCACCCCAGGAGGGAGAACGGAGAGACAGACGCTTCAGGATCGTGAAAGACGAGAATGGAAAGCACGGTCAACTGCCTCCGGTGAAAGCTGTGAGCTCGTGTTTTCAATTTCTCCGCCGTCCAGTATTTGAGAGGTGGAGCTAAGAAACCAAGAGGCAGCGATGGTCCGAGAGACCCGAGGCGCCTCGGAAAGCCCAGCCCGCCAGCGGCCGCACAAGAACAAATCGGGGGTCCTGAAACCATGCTGCCCCCGACGCCCGGCTTCGCGGAAGGTCACGCACTGCAAAACCCTCCCCCATCACAATCAGCTGGGGATTAAAAAGAGGGATCCCAAGGCAGAAGCCGCGAACCCATGCAGGAACGCGTGAAAAACTCAGAGCTCAACTTAATACCTTCCACTGCGGGATCCCAGAAAGCGGTCGCGCGGCGATGACGTCAGTGACGCGTGGCCGTCCCAGATGCTCCAGGGCGGCGCTCTCTGATAACCTCACCCGGCTAGCCCCGCCCCTCTGCTGTTTTTCCTTGCTCTCCCTAGCGCAAATGAGTGGTCTCCTAAATAGTCGCCTTTGATTGGCATCGTGGAAAGAGTTTGGGGGTAAGAGGCCGATCAGCATTTTTCTGAATTTCTGTTTGACCAAAGCTCCCTCGAAATACTTTTAGAAAGCCTCCTCTGAAAATTCAGAAGACGGTGGCATTTGATGGGGTTTCCACCTACTCGACGGGTGATACACGGTATTGTGTTTCATCTATGCATCCCCCGATGTACAGTTATCGGGCAAAAGCATGAGTTCAGCTTAAGAACCGAAGCAGAATCTAAAGTAACTACCAACAGCTAACAGCATTTCTGCGTTTCAATGATCAATTCTTTCTGAAAGGGAGATCTGAAAGGTGCATCGCCTCAGCTGCTGTGCCCTGAGCCATCCGCACCACTCTAGCTCCACAACCCGGTGATTTGTTCATCAAGTACTTACTGGGTCCCTGTTGTGTGCCAGACTACAGTTAGTAGACTAGATCCCGAAAGTTATCCCAAGGGGATAGAAGGTGATGACTGTTAATTTAATGTGGTAATTGTTTTGAAATTGATACATACATCAAAGCATTATATTTATATTGTATGTTTGCAAAGTTGGCAGTTACAGTTCAATAAATTTGAAGGAAAAAAAGGAGAACATTCAAAATCCCTGGTCATAGCCAAAAAAATTAAAAAGCAAAAAAAGCCTCCAGATGGCATTTGAAAACCACTGCATTATGCTACCTCTCTTTTCTATTAGTCCATTTCAAGTGATGCTGAATTTACCTGCTAGTGCTAATGAAAACTCACTTCTGCTTTTGACTGCTAGGAAAGAATGAAAATGTGACATTGTAGCTAGTCTTATAAATGGAATATAAAAGCACTGATCAGAGTTCCCTAAGAAGGATCTGTTCTTCCCACTCCGTTGCTGTGTAGTCAAACATTCCAACCACAATCCTTCTCCAGTAAGTACTTGATGAAGCAAACTAAGCCAGGATGGTTACTCAACATCTCTAGTCCTATTTTCTCATCTGGAAACTACAGGCTGTCATAGTACTTCTTAGGTACTGTGAAGCCCAAATGAGACACTGTAGGTACTTAACTAACTACAGTAGCTGACCAGTATGTGAGCACCACAAAGTGTTATGTGTAACACACACATATGCACATGTGCATGCATATACAGTCAATGCAATAAAAACAAAAGAAAGGGGAAAGAAGGAAATATATGCAGAGGTGGCAAGATTGAAAAGGATAAATGACTCAGAAATGAAGTTCATTAGCTTTAGAGTGGGTGGTTTTCATAGAAGACTTCTGGTCTTGTTTATGTCTTCAGATAGCCAGGATGAAAATATTACTATAGATTACAGTCTAGGAAATTGTGCTCTAAGTGTGGGATCACTGTCCCCAGGAAGATCACATAGACTTTTCTCAGTAGTCCCAGAGCGGGTCTCTTCCATAAGTGTCACCTTGCTTGGGGTGATGTGGCCAATGGAGGTGCTGGGCCTCAAAAGAAATTGTTGCTGTTAGACCAAAAATTTAGTGCAGGAGTGAAAGATTAAGGCATACAAGCCTTGCAAGTGGTAAACCCCATCATCACATCATCCCCCAAGCATGCACAGAGGAATCCCCAACTCCATTCTCCTGAGTTTGATTTGGGGTACAAAAAATACACCCAGTTACTATTATTGGGAAAACATATTATTTTAAGATGAAAGTGATGTATGCCTTACATCTAAGATCTTGCCCCATCTCATTCCTTTGCCTTATTCTTCATAATATAAGCTGTCATTGCTTCCCTGTTATAATCAAGAAGGGTGCCATTTGAAGGGTGCACCCAGGTTTAGATTAATAAATACACATATTATTTCCATCTGAGAAACTCTTCTTTTTATCCTCAGAATGAAGATGAAGTCACAGGGACATAGAGAGAGCTCATGCCGGAGACCTGGGTCTATATCACAGCACTGCATGGTTCCCCAGTCACGTCCTGAAGTGACCTGAAAACAATATTACGTAGTCGTTTCCCTTCCCCCTCCCTCCCATACCATGAGAAAAGCCCCCTCTCCTTGATGTCCCAAGCCCCAAGAGCACAAATATTCTACATCACCATGATTTTCTTTTCTTTCTCTTTCTTTACTTTTCTTTGACCTTTTTTCTTTTCTTTTTTTTTTTTTTTTTTTTGTAGAAGGTTTTGAGGCCACACTCAGTAGTGCTCAGGGGCTATTCCTGACTCTACTCTTGAGCAGTGCTTGGGGAATTGCCCCTTGCAGTACTGGGGGACCATATGTTCAGATTATGTGTGGTGCCAGGGATTGAAACTAGGTCTCCTGCAGGCAAAACATGCCCTTGTCCCAGTGAGCCATCTTTCCAGTCCCCAATATTTTTCTTTAGAATATACTTCCACATTCATTTTTTAAGTACATGAACAAAATACTGTTAAAATTTATAGAGAGTATTCAAACTCCACTAGTAGGAGAAGCTAGGGAGTAGAAGAAAAATCAAAAAGAAGACGGGGGGCTGGAGCAATAGCACAGCGGGTAGGGCGTTTGACTTGCACGCGGCCGACCTGAGTTCGATTCCCAGCATCCCATATGGTCCCCTGAGCACCGCCAGGAGTAATTCCTGAGTGCAGAACCAGGAATAACCCTGTGCATTGCTGGGTGTGACCCAAAAAAAAGCAAAAAAAAAAAAAAAAAAGAAGACAGGGAAAAGGTCACTGTCACTGTCACTGTTCTCCCATTGTTCATCAATTTGCTCGAGTGGGCCCAGTAACATCTCCATTGTGACACTTGTTACTGTGTTTGGCATATTGAATACGTCATGGGAAGAAGCTTGTGCGGGTGAGATACTCTCAGTAGCTTGCCTGGCTCTTTGAGAGGGGCGGAGGAATCGAACTTTTCTTTCCTTAACTTTAAATTATACTCTAGAGCTATAGTAACCAAGACTATGTGGTAGGGAATAAATGCAAACTCATGGGCCAGTTGGAACTCAGATCCCAGAGAAAGAATCTCAACTGCTTGGAATCTATTCTTTGATAGAGGACCTAGGTGTTTGAAGTGGAACAAGAAGAACCTCTTCAGCTAATGGTGTTAGAAAACTTTGTTAGCCACAGGCCAAAAAAGGAGCTCAAGATGCTTATCTCACACATACACAAAAATTAACTAAACAAATGAAATGATAACAAATTAAGAAACTTCTGCACTAAAAAAGAAACAGTTACGGGAATAAAAGGACATCCTAAGGATTGAGAGGAAATATTTGCTCACTACACATTTGACAAAGGACAAATATTCGTGCAAAACTAACAAAAAGTTAACTGTCGACTCTCACTGTTCCAGGATGGTGGCCATTGGTCCACCTGCAGTGACCTGAAGGTCCCCTGATGTGTTCAGGGTTGATCACTGTCCACACCACCCCCATCCCGGCCAGCTGATGGTGACAGACAAATGAAGGAACAGGGGCCACGAGGCTGGTTAGTAATCAGTGGCTCTTTATTCAAATCCCACAGCATTAGTTATAAAGAAACCGTGAAAAGTTATGGGTAGCAATTACACAGAGGTGTAGCTGAACATTATCATAAAGAATGAACAGATGTAAAGCTCTTTCTTTAGGGGAAATTCTTCTAGGAGATTAACTCAAAGACAAAATCTCACCTGCATGTTCAGAATTCTTGATTCCTGCTAGGAGATCCACCCAAGGGCTGACTTCTATCTAAGGGTATATTGCTTTCTCCTTTCTTTAGCCAGTATCCATATAAACAAACAACCATCTTAAATTTACTTCTTAATAATATTTCTAGTCATTTTGTATGGACACAATAAGAGATATATAAAGCTTAAATGGTGGCTCTTCCTGGGGATATTGAACTATATATCCCAGACTACAGTCCTCAGGTTAGGTTTGTCTTTCCTAATTCCAGGAGGCATCCTTTTCAGTCACTTGTTTTGGGGTCATGTCAGAGTTTGTTCCATGACCATGTCCTTAACTTATTATACTTTTTATGGTGCTTAACCTGTCCCTTTTCAATGCCAGGACAGCTTGTGGCTTTCCCTGGGTCCATCCAAGTCCCTCACTGGGACCCTCCTTTAGGAGGTGTTTGTAAGTAAGCAACTGAACCTAAGTCAAGCAAATATGATGGATGCTCAGGAGTAAATATTATTCAGAATCAACGAACTCCCACATTACAAAAGCATAGCATTAACTGTCTTCAGTGTCTATACAAAAAGGACATTGCACTAAAATAAACTATGTACAAAGGACATAAAGGAAAGATAACAGCAATATTTCACATACATGTACAAAATCCAGAGTCCTCAGAAGAATTTAACTTTACAAGTTACATGCTCTGATTAATAAGATAGGGTTAGAAGAGCACAAAGGAGAGGTTAGAGAAAAACACAGAATATTGAGAGTGCCTGATGGAATTGGTGTGCCTTGGGACCACTGTGGTGGGAGTAACTCAATAAACCGAAGCAGCAGAGGGGAGAAACGTGGAGGAAGAAAGAAAAAATCAATGTTATTTCTTAAAATGCTTAGAACTGTAATCCAACACTTAACAAAAAAAAAAAAAAATAACCCCATCAAAAAGTGAGGAGAGGAGCTAAATGGACATTTCCTCAAAGAAGATACACAGATGGCCAAAATTTTAAAAAGTGTGCTGCTGACACCCAAAAGGAGAGAGAAAATAAAAGGGAATGCCCTGCCACAGAGGCAGGGTGGGATGGGGGGATGGGGGTGGGAGGGATACTGGGATCCATGGTGGTGGAAAATGGGCACTGGTGGAGGGATGGGTATTTGATCATTGTGTAATCGAAATCCAAGCACAAAAATTTGTAAGTCTACAACTGTACCTCATGGTGTTTCACTAATAAAAATATGGAAAAAAAAGTGTGCTGCTGGCTTGATGTGAACCTAATAG